AAAACGCACCTATCTTTACTGAATGAAGACGCGCTGTACAAATCTCTTAGTCTGCGTGAGAAAGTCAAAATATTACTCGACAGCAAGTGTTATAACCCAATTGCCAAGTGTTATATATTTAGTCAACCCACAAATGATAACTACAAATCTAGACGTCATATGAAAGATACACAGCACACAAAATCCCAAGATCCACACAAGTACACGTACACGACACGTACAGGTACAAGTACACACACACACAAAGTGTCTTATCGACAAGTGCTCTAAACACAATGGTAACTAACACGAGATGCTAGCATCTGACGTGGTCGTCAGAGAAGCTTGGCACCAACATCTCAAGTGCTCTCTTGAAGACACTCGCTGGTTTATTTATGGTAAACTATTACTGTACCTATTATTTCAATGTTCAGATAAGGCACCAGTCTCTAGTAAATTCCTAAATTCCAGAAATGCACTCTGATCATTTTTCACTTTGTTCTTCGCTTCAGTCCAATTTGGTTGCTTAAGATTTGTCAGGAAACAGATAAATGTTTGCTGACGCCGTTGGAGCTTTTAGTCATCTGACCGAGGCCTTCCGCTGGCTTACCGGTCCACCCCTTTAGAAATTATGGTCATAGTCCACTTTCAGGACTTTGCAACTATTCAGGTATAGCTTGATATCCTCCTGCGGCCACAGCAGCAGTCTGTAATTTATTTAGTTAGCTCATAATTTCGTGGCCCGGCCAGGGAACCAGCCTTCCCTGTTGACCGGTCGACCAGACTGTTATTGTTAGCGGCCAGCCGGCAACCACCACCATACACACAGCAAACATCAGGCCCATCTTGGAGTATGCAGCGCCAGTATGAAATCCCTATCTGATAAAGAATGTAAAGAAGCTAGAAAGAGTGTAAAGGTTCGTTACGAGACTAGTCCCAGAGCTGAGAGGTATGATCTATGAGAGGTTAGAAGAGTTAAACCTGACAAAATTAGAGGACAGAAGAACCAGAGATGACATAACTACGATGTGTAAAACACAGAGAGGAATTGACAGGGTGGACAGGAATTGACAGGGTGGACAGGAAGTGTGTTTTAGAGGCGGATCTCAGGTACACAAGGGCACAGCTGGAAGTTAAAAATACAGATGTGTCACAGGGATGTTAGGAAATGCTTCTTTAATCTTAGAGTGGTCAACAAGTGGAACGACCTAGACAATGCACATGGAGAGGCGGAATCCACAGTTTTATGAATAGGTATGATAGGGGCTCATGCAGCCAGGAGACAGTGAACCCAGAAGCAGTCATTTGTTCCGTTAATATTTCAAATACCTGCTGGTAGCAGGTTAATCTTTCACCACGGATATTGATGCTGTGTTCTCTCAGTGTGCCCATAGCGTCCCTGCTTTTCACGGAAGTTATTTTACTGTCTTTCCCGTACTATGGTGGGTTGGAGATAAATGGTATAAAATACCGACATCATGGTAAAATAGGCACAAATGCAGTATAATGTATATTCTTTTCCGCTGTATTTCAGTGGTAGATCTTTTCAGTTTTCCCAACTGATCATATTTTATGCAGACCTTGTGTATGTTTCTTCACTCAGCACTTCCTTGCACTGGCGTGGCTTTAGGTTGTTCACGACAGTTTTCCAGAGGATATCTGATAGTTCTTTATTTATAGGATTCCAATCAAATCTCTGGTGGTTGAAGTGAAACTGTTGAACCGTCTTGCAAGTTGGCTGTTTCCTGGGGTTTCTACATAAGTCCCGATGTTTGTGTGTACTTCAATGAGGTTGAGGTAATACCTGGAGGTTACCTGGAGGTTATTCCGGGGATCAACGCCCCCGCGGCCCGGTCCATGACCAAGCCTCCTGATGGATCAGGGCCTGATCAACTAGGCTGTTACTGCTGGCCGCACGCAGTCCAACGTACGAGCCACAGCCCGGCTGATCCGGCACTAACTTTAGGTATCTGTCCAGCTCTCTCTTGAAGGCAGCCAGGGGCTTATTGGCAATTCCCCTAATGCTTGATGGGAGGCTGTTGAACAGTCTTGGGCCCCGGACACTTATGGTGTTTTCCCTTAGTGTACCAATGGCGCCCCTACTTTTTATTGGGGGCATTTTGCATCGCCTGCCCAGTCTTTTACTTTCGTAGGGAGTGATTTCTGAGTGCAGATTTGGGACCATTCCTTCCAGCATTTTCCAAGTGTAGATTATGATATATCTCTCCCTCCTGCGTTCCAGGGAGTACAAGTCAAGTGCTTCCAAGCGTTCCCAGTAGTTAAGGTGCTTGACATAACTTATACGTGCATAATATGAACACGTATATAGTATTTGTGATTGTATCTTTGATCAGCTCCTCGTTGTTTTATAGATCAGGCCCAGGGAGTTGTCCTTCCTGGTGGACTGTTCATCTGTTGGTTGAGAGAAACTTCAGAGCCCCAGAAGGTCCCCCTGCTGTGTGTGTGCTGGTTTAGCGTGCTTCTAAGCACTGTGCTACGATACACTACTGTTGGCTGCCATCCTTTACCCAACAATTACATATTTTCAGACAGCTGAACTGGAATTTGCTTCGTATTAGCATGTGTGCAAAGGATATAATTTCCAGCTGGTCTGAAGTTTCTTATACATTTGAATAACAATTTATCTCCATAAAAACCGACCAGGACTCAAAGACGTATTTTTACTACTACAGAGAAAGGGTAGCAAAAATAACATGAGCAGCAGGGAAAACAGGGGTAGTAGCAATAGTAGTAGCAGCAGGGTATGATGTAGTAGCAGCAGGGTATGATGTAGTAGCAGCAGGGTATGATGTAGTAGCAGCAGGGTATGATGTAGTAGCAGCAGGGTATGATGCAGGACCAGGATGGGACCTAAACTACCCGTCCCCACACACACACACACACACACACACACCACACACACACACACACACACACACACACACACACACACACACACACAGACTGACCTCTCATAACCTGGAGTCTTCACTGAACCTAACAGACTATAACTCTCCTAGAACTGTTCTTAGCGTGAGAGCAGAGGGCAGGAGGAGGTAAGAGGGGTTAGAAGAAGGGGGAGGGAGTTAAAGGGTGATGAAGATTTTCCCCCGTACCCTTACTTGTCATCAAGAAGGGGTGAAGGAGTGGGGGTGAAGGGAAGCAGAACCTCCTTGTATACTCAGCCGAGTGTTTTGCTTTAACAAAAACTCAGACACTGCCTCTTGCAGGACTGGTCCTCCCCCCACCCTATTCCCTCCAACCCCCACCCACTATTGCATCCCCTCTCCTACCCTCCCTCCATAGATTCTACTTCCCCCTCCTTACCCCCACCTGTGGTGCTCCTCTACCTCCGTCCAGGGACTAGATCCCAACCCACCGATCCTGGACACCATCTCTACCTACCTTTGATATACCGTCGATGAGTTCCGAGTTTTTCTACCCCAGGAACCCGACATAGGCCAGGCTCGTTTGGTGCTTGACTGGTCAACCAGGCTGTTGCTGGTGGTGGTCCGCGGATCCACATATCCATCACAGCCTGGTTGATCTGGCACCTGGTGAATATACTGGCTCAATTTCCTCTTGAAGACTTATACACTTGTCCCAGCAGTGTTTCTGTTATCTTAGTTATTTTAGTAAGATGTTGAATAATCTGGTGCTACGGATGACAGTGTTCTCTTATTGTGCTCACTGCACCCCTGCATTTCACTGGGTATATTTTGCACTTCCTCCATATTTCTCACTCCAGTATATTGATATGGCAGTGTGCAGATTTGGGACAAGGCTCTCAAGTACTTTCCAGATATATATCATGTATCTCTCTCTCTTCCGCTCCAGTGAGTACATATTTAAGACTAAGGCGTTCCCAGTAATTCAAATGCTTTATTGGGTCTCTGCGGGTCGTAAACGATCTCTCTAACTGTTCCAGCTCTGATGTTTTTTAACATGGGGTTTTACAAGGTTAGGTTAAAGCTCCTAACTTCACATACAAGTTAAGAGCTGTTACCTACATTAACTCATTTGAAATCCCTGAACGGGGCCGTCAACACTGAGCAATATTCCAAGAATACTGATGTCATTAGGCATGAATGAATTGTAATAATGTGAAACAAAGTATTCATTTTCCCAGTCTTTAATTTGTTGCTCTGTATAAGGCTTATTTGTGAGCACCTGGTTAAATGGAATTGAATCAAATCCCCAACAATGTGTAGTGAAGTGAGATGATGTATCACCCGTCTTATTTCCCCTTACTGAGGAGTAGATGGTTTTACCTGTCTTGTCCGTTATATGACAGACGGCTTCTGTTCCATAAGAAGCAGCAGGATAAGGTATATTCATCTCTTGTATAAGCAGGGGGAAGATAACACCCACCCACCTGCTTCACAAGCAGCAGAATAAGTGCATCTTACAAGGAGGATAAAGAGGATTTGTCTGTTCCACAACCAGCAGGAGGATAAGGAACACACCTGCTCCACAAGAAGGATGAGGAACACACCTGCTCCACAAGAAGGATGAGGAACACACATGCTTCACAAGAAGGATGAGGAACACACCTGCTCCACAAGAAGGATGAGGAACACACCTGCTCCACAAGAAGGATGAGGAACACACCTGCTCCACAAGAAGGATGAGGAACACACCTGCTCCATAAAAAGGATAAGAAACACACCTGCTCCACAAGAAGGATGAGGAACACACCTGCTCCACAAGAAGGATGAGGAACACACCTGCTCCACAAGAAGGATGAGGAACACACCTGCTCCACAAGAAGGATGAGGAACACACCTGCTCCATAAGGAGGATGAGGAACACACCTGCTCCACAAGAAGGATGAGGAACACACCTGCTCCACAAGAAGGGTGAGGAACATACCTGCTCCACAAGAAGGGTGAGGAACACACCTGCTCCACAAGAAGGGTGAGGAATACACCTGCTCCACAAGAAGGATGAGGAATACACCTGCTCCACAAGGATGAGGACTCGTTTGCTGGACAACACGAAACACGAGTATCAGGACTCACCTGGGAGGAGAGTTTGGTCATGTCCACCGGCTTGATCTTCTTGAGAGCGGAGAGGCGCTCGAGGCGCTCCCTGGCCTGCTGCTCCACGGCAATAACGAACGCATCTTGTACGTTCGAACTCGCCGCTAAGTCCACAGCTGCAGGAGAGAGAACACACATGTCAACAGAAGTATATACATAAAAAATACCGTGACAACTCATCCCACAATTTAAAAGTTTAAAGGCTACAATACCAATCAAACCAACAATTTGCTACAATACCAATCAAACCAACAATTTGAAAATTTAAAATCACAATACAGTGGCTGGGACAACTCGAACTCACAATCTGGAAACATTAAAGAGACATATCTGTCTTTTCTAGACCATTATCAAATAAGTGCGTTAGTAATGGTCCAGGGCGGATCGAAAAATAGTCTATTTTCCATTTAAAAATATTGATTAGTTGTGAACATAATATTAAGTAATGAAGATATACATGGTGTAGGTATACATGGTGAAAGTATACATGGTAAAGGTATATATGGCCAGACTTTTTTGATGACTAGTAAAAAAAAAGATTTGATCGTAGTAAATACTTAATATTTACAACGTTTCGCTCAACATTGTTTTTTTCAAGTACATGGCAGATTATGTTGGTTAGAGCGTACAAATAAAGGACTTTACTGCAGTTATATGGTTATTATTTTTAAGTAACTATCGACAGTTTGTCACTGTCAGCCGCCACGTTTTGTTGATTGTGCTGTCAGCTGCCCTCGGGTCGACATAACTTTATCATTTAACCTGGCTGGTCTGACACTTGTGGAATGTGGTGGTCCAGGTTCCCATTGAAAACCTCTTTGTTCCGGCTCCTTCAGCACCACACTACACCACCACACCATGTACACCACACCCTACACCACCATACAATGTACACCACACCCTACACCACCACATCATGTACACCACACCCTACACCACCACACCATGTACACCATACCCAGGAGAGGGAAGACTTGGCTCCACCATCCATCACTGCCCAGTCAACCTCCATATATCACACCAGGCTCAGCTTCCGCTCCTTCACATCCACTTTATCAGGCTTCCCTGTCGCCACTAGTCTCAGAAGAAAGACTTGGAATATCCTATAACCTAGCGCTCTCTCTCACATTCCCAGTCTTGCTCTGTGGCACTCTTCGTGCTCTCTCTGGCACTCGCACTTCTCAGCAGGCCAAACACTGCCGCCATCGGAAACATGCACGAAGGTTCTGTTAATGAAAACTTCTCATGATAGCCTTGTATCTGAATGGTTACAGCGCTGAACCTGCTACATACCAGGCCTACGGTTCTACCCCCCTCCCCCCCCCCGCCCATTCTTCTCGTAAATCATTCCCAACAGTTTAATACTTATACTGCGGTAACAGACCATATAGTTTTGAAGAGTGTGAGAATATCCCCATTTATTCTTCTCTGCCTTTTGTTCACGTCAATAATACCCCCGTCCCCTGTGACTTGGGAGTAATGGTAAGCAGAAATCTGAATGTAAAATAACAATGCCTAAGTGTGTGCTCACTACCTCTGATATACCTTTGAGTTTCGCGAGTTTTTCTACTCCCGGAGCCCGCCCTTGGGCTAGGATAATTGAATACTTGCATTTATATTACAAAGATAATTACTTGGATCTACATTGCAATAACCCTCCTATATGTTGCTGTTTTGCAACATTGCATAGCTCCTAACGACGTACGGGAGCGAAAGATCAAAAGCTAAAGATTTCAACCTCATGAAGGAATGGTCCCAAATCTGCACACAGAAATCACTCCCTACGAAAGTAAAAGACTGGGCAGGCGATGCAAAATGCCCCCAAAAAAAAGTAGGGGCGCCATTGGTACACTAAGAGAAAACACCATAAGTGTCCGGGGCCCAAGACTGTTCAACAGCCTCCCATCAAGCATTAGGGGAACTGCCAATAAACCCCTGGCTGCCTTCAAGAGAAAGCTGGACAGATACCTAAAGTCAGTGCCGGATCAGCCGGGCTGTGGCTCGTACGTCGGACTGCGTGCGGCCAGCAGTAACAGCCTAGTTGATCAGGCCCTGATCCATCGGGAGGCCTGGTCATGGACCGGGCCGCGGGGGCGTTGATCCCCGGAATAACCTCCACGTAACCTCCAGGTATGTGTCCTTTTCCTGCACTGCTTGGATTTATATGTTAAATGGCGTTGTGAAACCGACAAAACGTGAGAACAAGTCAATTACGTGGAGTACAGAACAGTACACACCATTTCTAGAACATTTCTGCATCAGTAGCACCAACGGTTCCCCCCCCCCAATCCCACAGCTTCCCAGCTCAGTGGCACAGCCCTAAACCCTAGACCACAATGGAAATAAGTCAGACATTTTTGGGGTTATCATACGTGATTTATACACGTGTCACTGTGTATGACAACCGTGGTCACCTAGATTTATGCAACTGCACTTATGAGTACCTGTACCTAAATAAACTTACTGCCCTCCATCCCCTCCCCCCCTCATTCACTGACTGCCGCCCACCGCCACGACGACAGGAAAACAACACAGCAGGCTGCCAACACTACTACTGTGAGGGAAGGAAGACAGGTCAGCAAGCTACTGCCACCAATACTGTGAGGGTAGTAAGAGAGCACAGCTGGCAGCCACCACTACTACTGTGAGGGCAGGAAGATAGCACAGCAGGCTGCCACCACCACCACAGCCCGGGGTACCTCAGGGTGGATCGCCTGTCGCACTACTTTTTTCTCTAGTGTACACTATTGCTTGAAGCGCACAGCACCAACCTCCTACCTTACTACCATCTACTGCCCACAACCACTACCTGCGTCCCAGTCCCGGATTAGTGCTCTACTACCTCTCTTATGCAAAGTAACTGTGTCTGCACTCTTTTAGGATGGGAAAAAGTGCTGTGCCTTGTGCAACAGAACTTTTCACTGTAGCCGTCTCAGACTTCACTCTGTTTACCACTACTCTTTGTGTTCTATTTGTTAGGAAGTTATAGATCTACCAACTTTTCCTGTTATTCCTTTATCACGCATTTTGTGCGCTATACACCATGGTCACAACTGTCGAATGCTTTTGCAAAGTCTCTGTATACTACATCTGTTTTTTTGTTTATCCTCTATAGCATCCAGGACCTTGTCATAGTGGTCCAGTAGCTGGGATAGGTAGGAGCGACCTGCTCTAAACCCGTGTTGCCCTGGGTTGTGTAACTGATGGGTATCTAGGTGGTTGGCGATCTTGCTTCTTAGAACCCTCTCAAAGATATTTATATGGGATATTAGTGCTATCGGTCTATAGTTCTTTGCATATGCTTTACTGTCACCTTCATAGTGAGGCTATGTCTGTTGTTTTTAGTGAGTGTGGGATGACCCCTGTGTCCATGTTCCCTCTCCATAGAATGCTGAAAGCACGTGACAGGGGCTTCTTGTGGTTCTTGATGAACACGGAGTTCCATGAGTTTGGGCCTGGGGCAGAGTGCATGGACATGTCATTTATTGCCTTTTCAAAGTCTTGTGTTAGGATAATATCAGAGATTTTTGAGATGACCAAATTTTGGGTCTCGTTCATAAAGAATTCATTTAGACTGTCGACCCTTAGTCTGGGTAACGGCTCGCTGAACATTGGGACTTTAGTATCTCACTCATTTCTTTGCTGTCATCTGTGTATGCCCCATCTCGCCTAAGCAGAGCCCAATACTGGATATTATTTTCCCTTAGACTGGGCATAAGAGAATCATTTTTTTTTCAATTTCCTTTATGGCATTTAGTTCTTCCTGCGATTCTTGTCTCCTGTAAGATTCCTTCAGCTTAAGTTCGATATTCGCATGATGTAAAATGTATTTTGAAGGAGTCTGTGTAGGTTTTTATGCTGAGAAGCTGATGTTATTCTGTTTATGAGTATTTTTAAGAGATATGTTAGGATAATGATTATTCTTTGGTCCTATTCTTTAACTATTTACAAGGATATACACAGTTTTGGGCCCCGGACACTTATGGTGTTTTCTCTTAGTGTACCAATGGCGCCCCTACTTTTTATTGGCGGCATTTTGCATCGCCTGCCCAGTAAAAGACTGGGCAGGCGATGCAAAATGCCGCCAATAAAAAGTAGGGGCGCCATTGGTACACTAAGAGAAAACACCATAAGTGTCCGGGGCCCAAAACTGTTCAACAGCCTCCCACCAAGCATTAGGGGAATTGCCAATAAACCCCTGGGTGCCTTCAAGAGAGAGCTGGACAGATACCTAAAGTCAGTGCCGGATCAGCCGGGCTGTGGCTCGTACGTCGGACTGCGTGCGGCCAGCAGTAACAGCCTAGTTGATCAGGCCCTGATCCATCGGGAGGCCTGGTCATGGACCGGGCCGCGGGGGCGTTGATCCCCGGAATAACCTCCAGGTAACCAAGAAATATGTTTCATGCTTTGTATATACTGTATACTAGAGTTTGTATTTTAACCCATATTTTAGGAATTAAAGTATTTTTGACTGGAGTACAGGGATAGTCGATAAGGTTGAAACCTAATCACTCAAAGAACCCATTATTTACATGCGTTTAGCACTTCCTCTTCCTCCAAAAATACTGTCTACGGTCTACTTTTCCCCTTTCTCAGCTACGTAACTCGGAGCTCACTTTCCGCTCTCCCTCGGCTTCCTACCTTTCCAACCTTAATAACCTTGATGGACCGACCATTACAACACGCGTTTAAGAAGCTTTCCTGAATTACTTCTCGAAGCGTAAAAGTTATGGGTGTACACGACAAAGCACCATTTGACCTCTGACTTCTACATTACAACAATGACCTTTATGCTGAGCCGTGGTGCTCGTCGACCCCGCAGTCTAGTGTTACACCAACCTGATAGGAGACGAGAACTGCCAGTGTGTGATACACACATGTAAGCTATAGGCAGGTGGACTGCTATAGCGTCCAGTTACCTTGGATTCAATGCCGTTATTACGATAGATTTTCACTATGACGGATATTGAATTGACAAAGGCTCGGAGGTATGACGTATTATCATATTTGAGAAGCTGCATACCAGTGACCTTGTCAAGGGCTCGCCTCTCCTCCCAGCCCGGATGAAGGTCATACTTTCTAGCATATTGCCTGATCAACCAGGCTGTTGCTGCTA